AGTTTGGGGTTAATTCTATTTAGCCTTGTTTGGTGACAAGGAGGAACATTTGTATCGGCTGGAGTGCCTTATTCAGAATAGTCAGTCTCTAGCATGGCGATTCATCGACGGCCTTGCTTCTAGCAGTCCCACGTGAAATCCAGAATACTATACACGAATGTGTGTTAAGAAAAGATACTTCTTTACAGAGGTCGCTTTGTTGAAGTCACTCGGGCAGGTTCTTTGGCTTTAAAGCGTATACACGAGCTAAAGCCTCGTATGTTGCGATAAATGTATGGACTAGCGTTTGAAGCGCAGGTTGTAGAGACCTAAGATGCAACAGTAGGCTTACTAAAGGCACGTGAAATAGCCGAATGACTGTTGAAAGCCGCGTGCAACTATAGAGGGTGGGTAGATTTTGCCAGAGGAGTTGAACAATAGACATTGAACACATGATACATTACAAGCCGGCTGACAACACCAACATTACCTTGTAGTCGGATCCTCGGTTTGCAAGGAGGTGGTTTTGTCGTTCTTGCCGTACATGGTCATGCCTCTTTAACACGAGTCAATAGAGGTCACTACGTGTTCTTTCAACTCCCATACGGGAAAGCGAGAGGATAGAATATTTAACCCCTCGATTGCAGGAGAGGCAAATTTGTCATTTTATTCAACTTAACAACTGCACGAACACAAGACTGGATGGCCCAGATCCAGATGTAATACAAGGCTTTATCTTAACGCCGCTCCTTTCTGTCATTTTATTCAACTTAACAACTGCACGAACGCGAGACTGGATGGCCCAGATCCAAATGTAATACAAGACTTTATCTTGACGCCGCTCCTTTCTCTTATAACTAGTTTGTAAAAACACGCGGAAGTTATCCAAAGCAAATTGGGGAAACATTTATTACAAAACTTTATTCTTTTGACAGATTTTGTTGAAAACATTATAACAACTGCATAAACATTAGAGGGATAACAAAAACGTAGAATCCGAGTATAAAAACGATTAATACACAAAGGGCTATCTCTGCTCTGCCCACCATGGGTATCGAAACCCGGTTTGTAGCAGTATAAGTCCGCAGACATACTGCTATGCCATTGGGGGGCTATGCTTAGGGGGAGTTAGAATATATATTGCCTTAACGCGTGTGTCTTCGTTATATCTAAACATTTAAATCTGAATGTATTATATCGATCACAAACTTCGACAGTCAGGAGAAGAAGAAACTTTACAGACAAACAATC